ATCAATAAACTAATTATGACATTATAATGAGGATGACGTGACAGTTACATTGCAGACGAGGAATCTAATTGAACAAAAAACACACATAAACTAATTGGTAAAATTACTAAAATGGTGCAATTCCATGAAAAGGTTCGTCTAAATGACTATCAACACGATTTACGACACGAGGGACGTTTTAAAGTCAAACATATGTATTCAAACATTATCAATATACAGATCACAATTAGCATACTACCTGGTTATAGTTGAATACCTAGCGTGGTCAGCCATATCTAACTAAGCGTTACTCTCAATAACTGGATGGCAACGATAGAAACATATACATAGCTTATTCGTAACAATTGCAAATGTATGTATTCGTCTTTACCTTGATATCGTAACGGTTCTGTTTACCAAGATTAACATCCCGGGAAATTACTGAGTAGAAAACACAATACCCAGAGTGGATTTTATTTTATTATATTTTTTATTTTATTTCATTTTTTTTTTTTTTTTTTTTTGAGACTGCAAAGGTAGCCTTTTTTACTTTCCAATAACGTCATGTTTGCTTTATTAAAACCTCCATTATAACTTATTAAGACGAACAAATAAGGAAATGGTTGACGAATCTCAATCTCTTTATTACATATAGTGAAATAAAATTGTATTTTATTTGTTTATGTTGTTATCTATCTCAAGCTTCCAAGTTATAGTTCAGACTTATGGAGCAGATTGAAACCCTTCAGCTGATTCAGACATAATGGTAGTGTTCAGTTTCGTGTAAAAATCTTCGAGATCGAGATAAATAGCAAATATAATGGGGACAGGTTTTTTCTCTTATTTTACCCCGACATTACAATTCATCATTTCAGATATTTCATTTCCATTTTCATTACAAACGTTAGTAATGCATATAAATTGAAAATTACTTAAAGCAGTTTCCTACTTATATTACTTTGCCTAACTTTTTTTCGTATCCCAAGTCTCCAAACCAAATCAAATGCCTTTCTGAAATCCATAGATAAACATTTTTTTTCAATTAAAAACAACGAATGAAAGTTAAGGTATTTTGAATTAACAAATTGTCAGTGATAGAATGATTTTTCCTGAAGCCAGTCCAACTTTTAAGACTGATAAGTCATTTTGCTAAATATGTCGATAAGTATTGAAGTAAAAACTCTACCAATTATTTTATCCTGTAAGTATCAAAATTCCCTTTACAGCCATATACAGGATTAATAACATCTACCAAAAATCAGGCAGGTAACATGTGTTAGATATAGCATTAAATAACTTAAAATACAAAGATTGAAATATGTCTACAGTAGATTTTAAAAACTCATCCAGGATTCTAATCTGAAGCATTATCATAACTAAAATAAGAAAGTTTAATTATTTCACTTTTCATAATTTCTCCTTTAAAAAAGTCATCAAATCTTCCATGAATGGGTAATAGTAGCGTCATAGATTTCATTAGAGTTACCTCCCTTGTTCAGCTCTTCGCGATATCTAATTTCTGTCCCTTACTATTACCATCAATTTCACTGAGAACGTCGAGGCCTTCCTTAATTATGTTTCCATTTTCTATTGATGGATTTTATCAGATTTATTTTAAGTCCTCCTGTACTCTATGCCGGTATTTTTAAGAGTAATTTTGTTGTGTGATTTTTATCGGCATTGTAACTACGTTTAGCTTTATGAAAATCTAGTCGCTTAATGGCATTCCCTTGTAAATCGAGGTTTGCTAGTAGTACATATTCTGTTGGTTTGATGAAAAACCTTTTTTCCTTAAAAAAAATCGCTGACTGCATTTACTACATATATTAGTTCGTCGTCTGTGACTAAATTATATGGTTTCCCCGAAACCAGGACCAATATTTCAACATTTCTTTCGGGTTACCAATATCTTCATTACAAAGGTTAATACCTTATCATTATTCCATTTCGTATAGTAACGTGTGGGCGAATGCTTACTTCCACCATTCAGATTGTTCGCTTCTCTTATTTCCAAACAGAATTCAAGTCTACAATGACCATGTGGAATTAAAGGTTTAAAATCGAAAATTTCAAAACCGGCGAGTTCTTCAAAAAGGTCTAATGATAATAAAATATAGTCAATTACAGCTGTATCATTACAAGTTGTTTTACCAACTTAACAGTCCTTTTCAGATGGATTTGTATTATCATTTTCACTGGGTGTATGTACCATGTAACCGTGGTACAACCGATACGGATGCCTGAGCGTTATCTTTCGCTACGCTTACTTTTCTATTCTTTTCACAAAAAAATTCAACAGGCCAAAGAATAATACATCACTCATGGAGATCGTAACTACCTTGTGTGTGCGTAATATTGTTTGACCCGCAAATATAAAACCAGAGAGGCTTATGTATCAAAGATGTCTCTGATAAAAGTCGTAAAACGATTATGGGATAAATTCCTTCTTGTAATTGGTTTTATCCCTATTAAATCAACATTTAACAACAACAAAGAATAAGATGACGCTGTTCTAAAGTATAAAATACAATACACACGTGTACCGTCGGCGATCGTGGAAAATTTAATTCTCCATTGCTCAATCAATTTTTAAAATATGAACATAAATCTTAGAAAAATGGTGCATTATCATATCTACGATGACGCTTACTATACTAATAAGTTTTCAGAAGAGTCTTGCTAAGGCATCTGTACGTCGTAGTTAGGTATATGTACGATGTAAACAAAGGTGTATGTACGATCTGTACTAAGTACGATGTACACTAAGGTTTTTGTACGATGTATACTAAGGTTTCTGTACGATGTACACTAAGGTTTCTTTACGATGTATACTAAGGTTTCTGTACGGTCTGTACTAAGGTTTCTGTACGATGTACACTAAGGTTTCTGTACGATGTATACTAAGGTTTCTGATCGATGTATTCTAAGGTCTAGGTACGATGTACATTAAGGTCTAAGTACGATGTACATTAAGGTGTCTGTACGGTCTGTACTAAGGTATCTTTACGATGTATACTAGGTATCTGTTCAAAGGTGACATACATATGTAACTATCTCTAAGTAGGGTTTCATGTTTGTTGTTTTTCTGTATGTTTTATGCATCAATTACAATGCGGTAAAGTCCCAATATGATATAAGCACATAGGAACCTAACTACAAGTGACAAACAACACAAATATAAACACGAAAATAACACTTAGAAGCCGAACGCATTATCCTCAACGGCATAGATTGCTGTTTGGTGACATTTTGATGCATCAAGTAAATATCTCCGAAAAAAACGTTGTAAAATCATAAAAGCGCTTTGCTAAAGACACCCTTTCATGTATTTTTTCTAGATGTTGAGTTCACACTTCAAAAGCATCCGTATCTGTACAACGTTAAATAATTATAGCATTTATGGTTTTGCGTAACTAGAGACCAGAATTCACGGTGACACGGCACGAATGTGGGAAATCCACGGAATGCAGAAAGAGCATCGCCAAAGTCAACAGTAAACACCCTTCACGTCAAGGAAGCGAGGGAACATCGCTAAACTCGCTAGGCTTCAGGTTTAGTCTTCATCAATGTCAATACGAACAGCTGATACAGAGTGTGAAACGACTTAGTGTCAATGAGTTAATTATCAGCAAGGCTATAGTGATAGCTTGGATTTATATCCTTGTGGACATTTAACACTAAAAATGCAAATATGTTTTATTTGTTTATTTGTTTTGGACACTCTTAAATGAACGAATGAAGTTTTTTATATACACTTACGAAATGAACATGGAATACGACCATTCTCTGAATTCACAGATTCTATTTCCATATCTAAGCACATTAATGTCTTGGTTGGGTAACACTGGTATCACTCCAATATCCTGACACTTCTAAAGATATTTTTCCTACACTCGGAACATTAACATGCATTACGGTCATACCTAATTACGGCGCGTGGATATCCGACCAAGTTACCAAGCTCTGACAATAATTGTTTTGGAATCTCATCCATCAGGAGATGGGAGTAGAATAACCAGTTCTCTTAACCACGTTTGATTAGTTTTTTTTCAAATTCAGCTGCGCTGATCACTTCGTTGATATGAATATTTCTATTTCAAATAACGCGTTTTCCCCCCCTTCGACCTTTACCGGTCGAAGGCCTCGGCAGTACTGTTAAATGCTGTTCTTTATACAAAAATTAATCATGTTTTATGCACAATCTTTTTCACAAAGCACCTACTGCTTAAAGTGTTAAATAAATCCTACCTAGGTGGTTGTGACTTCGGTTTCAAATGGTCTGTTACGTCAAAAAGCGGAAACTGATTATCTAATTTTTTAAATTATTTTTATTCCTTTTTTTTACGTTTGATAATATCCGAAATTGATTAACACGTATTTTCAAGGAGGTTTGTAAGGCAGTTTGCATAGCGAAAACAGAATCAATCGGTTGTAATTAACGGACTCCTAAACGGATTTCCCTCTGGGAATTCATACACTACTGCCGTTCGATTCCCCATAAATCTCGTATAGAAGTGACGCAATAACGGACCACTAACAAATTAATTTATACACAAGGGTTCAGATTAGGAGGGTATTTGTTTCGCGAACATATCACAACTACACCGCTAGATCTGAGATAGCAAATGCATAAATATCATGCATTTCTATTTCACAGTTTCTATATATGCACACTGTATATCAGTAAGATGCCTGCAAAACTTGAAGAAATGTAATAGACAGTAAAATTTTATCTCCCAATGATAGCAATATCATCCCAAAGCTTACACATTTTGCGACAAACAAGGAGAACAATTAGATTTCTGTTGTTTCATTGCGATGCATATCATGCTTGTGAATTCAGGGTTGACCTACTGCACTTCCTGGCGGTTTAATATTCAAACACTTGACAGATTCTACCGGAAGATCTTCAGAGAATCGAAAAATGTACTGTACCACGTTCAGTCCAAACCAGGATAGCAGCAAAAGATATATTACAAGAAGTGAATCATTAAACAAAAGTGAAATATTTTATATCGTACCTTTTCTGTCAACAAACATGGAGAATGAACTAGATTCTCGTTTATCTCTATCAGCTGTGCCGGGAGACCCGCAGGAAATATGTAGTTTTCTCCGTCTTCACATTCAATTTTACACAGTTCTGAGGCCGTCTTCAGCCACTGTGCCCCCTAATTGCAAAATGAAAAAGAAAAGATAATACTAATATACAAATATATCCTTGACAGATTAAATAACAAATTTACATTTTGATATAGAAACAAATCAAATAATTACTTTTTTCAGAGTTCATTGAGTATCTGTGAAATCGAGATATCAGGCGCTGAAAATTATCAGATCGCTTAAAATCATTAGCAACAATACACAGCGAAAATGCTATGCAGCAAAACGCGCAAGGTCAGCTGGGGCATTGTTAATTAATGGCTATAATACTAACAAAGAATAATTTTATGTCTGTATTTTATTGTACATACGCCCTGCTTTTAAAGGATATCCTTGATCTATAATCGCTCAAAAGCCCTGTACATGTGGATTTTATTGTGATCATTTGTAAAATGTGGGTCACCGTCATCAACAGAATGGCCTTCTGGAAAAAGCATAATTTGTTTTCATTTCCTCCCATTATCAATTATTTGAAACAAACCGCAGTGTGGCAACAATTAGGGACTGATGAATGTATTAGAAATAGCCGCACACACGGAGAAGAAATCTAAAGTGCATTCGTTAGTTTTAATGTATGATATAATATAATGAAACACTTTGATTGCATGATAGCGGTATAATACAATCGTCTTTCAGTGACTTTGCAATTTAGAAGCATCTCAGCTACAAAGTGTCGATTATGTATAGACCTTAATTAGTTTGACCTATGACGCAGGTAGGCTTTACATTAATCAATCTCGTTACCAAATAACTGAAGATATAACTGAAGAAGTTACAAGGTTAAGTGATAATAATAACTAGCAAGACAGCAAGTCTAGGCACACTGATGAAAGTGATCTGCTTTCTTAAGACTAAGTCCAGAGGCATTAATGAAGTCACAATTAGTCTAGCTGTACTAGTAAGGATGTTCCTCTACATAACAGTCAGCAAACAATAAATACTAGTATATAAACAAAAACTTGATTTAAATACAAAATCAATAAAGCGAGGGTAAGTATGAAAAAAGGAAAATTTACCACGGACTCCTGGAAATATAAAGACCAAGTAGGCCGAACGGGCGATCGTCTGCTGTTTCATCGACGACACCCACCATACAAATACTGGCTAATTCAAGTAAGAAATGTCATTCTTACACAAGAACAGTTTACACAACGTTATCATCACGCATTCTAACGAGCATGGAACACAATTAACTTCATATCCCATAGGCAAACACAAGAGACCGAAATGACGACCATAAAACTTCCTCATAACAATCAAATTGCATATCTCAAAACTGTTTTGGATGTTAATCTGTTGGCTGACAACATCTGTACCTGGTATTACGAACAAGTCTTTTAATGCCGAATCAAAAGCGAGATGTAAGCACCGTAGGTTTGGGAAGTGTGTGTCTTTCTATCTAGACAGAGAAACTTAAAATAGGGAAATCAAAATAATCATATTTAATGGAAATTTTTCTTCCTGGATGTGTTATTATTGACATGAATATATAAAAAGTGAAATTGAGTAAGTATGGTGTGTAGTTCCTGTTTTGATCAGTTCTTCGAGACTAACAAATAGTTAACGATCTAGACTTCGGCTATTTTACTTATGAAAGTTCAAATTCACAAAGTAAGCCGTTCCTTCATTCTGGACAGGATAGTGTATAGAATAGAAAACCGTAATGATTTTGAAGACGTTTTCCAAGAGCTTGTCTTCAATATTAGCCATTGTCAATGGAGTTTAACGCCCCTGCGAATCTTCTATCAAGAACCAGCTAGAATAAACTGCGATAAAACGAGGATTTCTGTGAAGTTTAAGAATCCTTTAGGAGAGGGAGGTCCATATTCTTTTAACTAATCGTTTATTTGCGTGATTGTAATACTGAAGCATGATGAGCTGATGTATTTTATCTCTGTACGGATTGGATAATATAGGTAAGGTTCCATGGTTATCGCCATACAAGAGGTCTATTGTTACTGACGGAATTGATTTTTCTATATCACAGGAAGTCTAAACGTACAAGTGAACTTGATCTATTAAAATAACGCTTAATCAAGCGTAAAAGTCAAAGACATGTCGACAGAATCTTAACTCTAATTCGAATACAGGGATACCATGACAAACCAGTGGAGCTGATCAGCCCACATACCGTGCAGCCAGAAATTTTAGCGGTCGTAATACTTGGCGACATGAACAATTTGATATTTAGCCATTAAGGAAAAGACTGACATTTTTATTTTGTGTCCATAACGATTATTATACATATTTATACTTATATCTTACTAAAAGAATCTTGAGATTTTCACAACATCGTCACGATATTCCCACATGTCTGTTTAAAGCGGAAATTTTTAAATGCTGCACGAGACTATCTGAGCGAGCGACCGCGAACAATCATTGTCTGCCTTACTAAAGTTACGTATCACAGAAAGAAGTTTGTTCAATTTAAAAAAAAAACTGTTTCTTATCAATCTCCATTGAATCCTTAAAATCATTAGTCAGAGAATTCCGTTCTGATACCCGAGAAACAAAACAATTAGTGCGGGAATGCGAGGCGATCATGGGCTATATTTAGAGGCCAAACAATGACGTAACATGAGTCGATTGGGCTTTAGGATATGGTCAGTTTTCCAAGATAAAATGTATTGAAAATACCGATATTATCAATTACAATGTACATCACTGTCACTCGCATCAACTTAAAACTACTCTTAGCCTATCAGATATAATAGAAAGTGGCAACATGTCTTTTTAATCTACGTGTTAACTTAATGGCTATTAATATTATCTGAATAGAAACTAGCGTTAAAATAACTTGCTCTACGGAAACATTAAGCCTTAGAGTATCAGTGATTTTAATCTACTACATAACAGTCAACCGTGGTACTAGTACATTTGGTCTATCTACATACAGTAACAATAAACACAAGGTTACCTCTGAAGTTCATACTTCTTCTCTACACTAAGTCAAGAAGTATTAATAAAATTCTTATATCTTCGTCAAAGTCTAAGGGACTTTGACCTTGATCTGATCACATAATCATTAGTATAAGGGCACTAGTGAAGTTAATCTAACTACATAACAGTTAGTCGACAGATACTACTGATGTGGATCTGTCTACCTAACAGTTAGTCTAGAGATACTAATGAAGTGGATCTGTCTACATAACAGTTAGTCTAGAAATACTACTGATGTGGATCTGTCTACATAACAATTAGTCTAGAAATACTAGTGAATTGGATCTGTCTACCTAACAGTTAGTCTAGAAATACTACTGATGTGGATCTGTCTACCTAATAGTTAGTCGACAGATACCAGTGATGTGGATCTGTCTACATAACAGTTAGTCTAGAAAACCAGTAATGTGGATCTGTCTACAGATGTGGATCTGTCAACTTAAGAGTTTGTCTACAGTTAGAGTGAAGCTGATCGGTCTACATAACAGTAAGTCTAGAGATACTAATGAAGAGGATCTGTCTACATAACAATTAGTCTAGAAAGATAATTGAAAATCCTCAGTAGAAATTAGAAAATGACTTTCTAGTAATAAATGAGCATCAGAAGGAAATTTTAATATTGATATGATTGCCTGAGATCAATGCAATATGCATGACTTCAATCAGGACTACCATGTAACATGAAGAGTTTGATGTGTAGAAACATTCCCCTATCATTTTTTCCTATAAAACTCAGGAATTCATATCTTCATGAATTCATAGGGATTATGATGCACATTATCAAATCATTTGATTATTGATTCTTTGTTCAACTGGATATTACTGATATTTCCTCTTTGGTTTTGTTGTTTGTCCTGTTATAATGATTTTTATCATTAAGAGGTTCAATGGGCTTGCTTTGCACATCTGGTTATCAATGTTGGTTAATCAGAAGAAGTTATGTAAAGGTTTTGACAAATTTGACCCTTGTGACTTTGAATATCTGTCAAAGTCATTTCTCTTTGAAAAAATTGTCAGGCTTCATTAAGGGACCAACACAGGTAAGACAGAATCATTATTATTTTGGTTTTGCTCATGCAAAAGATAAGGCTTGAAAATATTTTCTGTTCATTTTGTTTTCCTTTAAGAAAGCGACATCTGATTTACATGGTATGTGTCATTGATGAATCAGAAGACATCATTTTAGAACACTTGGTCTCAATATCCTTTGACCCTTTTAAGGGTCTCTGTGCAAGTCTTTCTTTTCTAATTAAGTCTGCCCTGGTTTCATTGATTTTGCAGAAATCTTAAAGTCCAATTCCTCAAAACTTGGCCAGTACATTAAGATCCCATATGTAATGAGTCAATGAAAAAAGTAATTCTTTAATAAAAACAATGATATCTAAAGCCCCTATCTAATACAAAATTTCTAAACCCTGTCACCAAAAACACAACTTTCTCTACTATTTACCCAACACTCCTGATTAAAGTGCCTGCTATTATCCTTACCTTTTTGCCTTTGCCCGACACCTTATTGTCCAATCTGTTGGCCTCACTGACATCAAAACTGACAGAGGTCACTTTCTTTTTCTTTGCTACAACAGGATGACTGGGTGCAAGGGTAATGATGCATACTCTACAAGAAAACAGTTATGGAAAATCCATGATATTCTTTAAAAGCTTGGTCCCTTTTCAAAATAACAGAATCTTAATACACACTATATTTTCGTCCATATTTCCGTTTATCGTTGACAAATAATTTCAGTCAAATGGTCAATGATCAATGTGTTCACGGAAATTTAAATATTTCCTTTTTAACATGTTTAAACATGTATATTTTATTATAGTTCAAATATGTAAGATACATGTACAAAACTCACTAGTTCCACTATCTCATATGGATTAGTGAATGTAATGTTAAATAAGCAAAGTGATTTATTGCATCATCCAAGCACAAAAAATATATAACAAAACATGTTGAAAGAAAATATGAACAGAGGACTGTTGACTGCAAAGGAAAAAAAGAAAAACCAACAATCAAAACTTAGAGTCCATTTCTTTTGAAATCAGTATCATGATAAGCTGATCATAATCTATGTGAAAAGTTATACTTAAGCAATATGTTGAGCAAGAAATAATAAAAAAAAAGCAATAATTGTCATCATCTTTACATGAAATTCTTATCAAATCTCACAAACTGTAAAATCATATATATGTTTGTAGAGGTGATAGTTGTGTGTATTTAGTGAATTAATCCCTGAATCAGTTACCAATTAAAGATATGCTTATGAGAATTATTTATCCATGACATCATGTGACCACCATAACTGTTTCTTTTTTAAACAATGACTTCCATGCCCCAGGAAAATATATAACAGTAATGCTACATGTTGTATAGTTACTAACAGTATTTTATAGTTTCTTAGACACAACATCATGCTAACTAATTATAAAGTTGTACATTTGTTTCAAAACTCTTACAAATATATATATATACATCATACATAACAAAGAGCCTTATCCATTAAAAACAAATTACTGCACAACATGTTTCAATATAACCTCCTGCAACTGTAATGGACTGTTGAATTTACTGGTTTTAAAATCCAACCTGAATATATTCACCTATAGCTAAAACCATTACTGATTAAAATCATACAAAATTGACATAATCAAAACTGGCATTAAGCATCTTTTTGAAAGACTGTTTACATGTTTGTCAATTAGGCATTCAAACAAACTCTGAAAAATAGAAAGTAATCTGCATCATCTAAGTATCAGATTACTACAGTATAAACTGACATCCGGCGAACAGAACTGGTTAAATTCAAAACTGTAAATGTTTATTTTACAGAGGATGGAAATAAACACATCTTGGATATCAAATGGCAGCTGATCCAAAAAAGAAGAATTATTTTCATGTACATCTTGAGACTTACTCTGGTAAACTTTAGTGATCTTAGATTTCACAACATTAAAAAGTAAATATAGAAAACAAACATTACCAAACAGATTTAAAAATAGGTTTCATCTTCAACATATATCAAATCAACCACAAATACAGACAACACTTTGTGACCAAACAATTGTGCCTTTGTTCCTGATCGTTTTAACTACATCTAAATTTCAAATGCAGACACAGAACTAAGAAGGCTGAAATATGTACTCACAAGAGGTGTTTTGAAATAAATAAAAGCAATAAACAGATAATAAAAAATATGAGAGCAAATACACTGAGCAACATCACTTTCAAGAGGCTATAATATTTTTAACTTCAAAGAACTCAAAATTGTCTTTATTCCATAAATTGTTGGAGTGAGTTTTAGTAATGATCTTGATCCTCAGTGCTTGCAAATGATTTATAGCATAAACTATGTCTCATCAAAATTGAATGTGTTTTGCATTCAGGGACCTATAAAATTATGGCCCTATCCTCACTCTTGTCTCTTTCCTACTATGAAATAATCATTTCAACTTTCAACCCTACCCATTCCTTACCATAAAATTATGGGCCCATCCCTCATTCATGTCACTTCCCTACCATAAAATAAATCAAATAAAAATATTGCCCCACTTGGTACCTTTGAACTCTTTCACTTCTCCACCATGAAATTATGGCCTCCATCCCTTAATACATTTCTCAACACCTAGAAGCAGATATATAAAGCAAATATTTCTCCATTTTTCATGTAGGTTTCCTTTGAAATGATATGCCATATGCTACAGGCTTACCTGTTTGAGTGTGCCAATACGCATACATCCTGGTCTTCAGTTTTTCCTGTGCAAGGAAGAAAACATCTCTTTTTAATTCACTTTGGAATGTAATATCATTTTCACTTCTTATTATGTGTAATTAGAATAAGATTTTCTTGAAAAGTAATAACTTGTATTACGTTTAAAATTGCAATTAAAAGTGATCTATTTCATTTTAGATATAAAACCAAAAATAAGAAATTACATCTTGTTCCTGAAGTATGTGAAAAAAATGTATGATGTTTTTAAACACCATATCTTTCATGTACATGTGAAATTGCCTTATAGTGTATTGTCCCATCATCATTGAGATCAGCCACAATATATCCAAACATACATGAAGGTAATATAATAAATTAAGATTAAAACAAATAGAAGAAATACTTAGAAAGGCGGATTCTGGATTTATTTGCATGGTATTAATTTTTTTGTTTTCTCCCAAGATCCAGTATCTAATGAAAGTTACCGTGCTGACTACAGTTCAAGGGAAACAACTCTTATAAAACTAAAAAGTCATTGACATTCTGTACGTTAATACGAAAATACGTTTCAATTTACAAATAACAGTAATTGAATCCCTGGTCCTAAACATAAGCAGCATAACAGTTATCATTTCACATCTTAACACGCATGTAATGTGAGGGAAATATCTTCTCTATTATGATAGTGTTGTTTCCCCCATTTTGTTTTTCCAGGGACGTACGATACAGAATTAGTATTATACGTCCCTGGTTTTTCTTTTCAGGTTTGGTATACATCTAAGATAATAAATATGATACAGTGGGGTCAACTTTCTGAATGGAGAATGTACATAAACTTCAACAGTTACACAGGTTTATATGTTATGTAAATCCTTCGGCTATCGGAGGTAGCAGACGACAGACATCATCTATCCACTAATGGATGGGGACAGATGTATGCAATTCAATGCTGAATATACTATGCTGATAAAAACACTTTCAAAAACTTATAGAACCAGTTAGAATTACCTATCTTGTATTTTCGTTTATAATATCGGTCTGTGACAGACAAACGTTCCTTTACTTTCTCTTCCTTTCCCATGCTGTGTTCCATGGCGGCCATCTTTTAACTTCTGGTCCTTCATACGTTTGTAACGAACGTCACAGCATGGACAATGATTCGAGCTATAAACGCAGACATGAATATTTCCGGAACAAAATAATTCGCTGCTTACAACAGACACAAATCACATTTTGTTTCAGTCATGTTTATAACTTTGAATTGCTCGTATAAAAGCATACAGGTCCGCTGGTTTGGAAGAAACTACCTAGAGTACACGGGAAAACAACTTACATGCAAAGCTCACTACGACTCCATCATTAAAACCAATACTACAACTCCTCGCCCCTTTCCTTTTACAGAAATATTTCAGTAGATATATACCTATGTAATTCAAAATGTCAAGGTTATGACTTCACGCGCATATAACATTATTTATTCTCGTAAATGTCTTAAAAACTTTATATATATATATGTATATATATATATACTACAACATCTGTTAATCCAGATTGGAATTAGTATTAAACAATTTATGTAGATCCTATTATCATAGAGAACTTGAAATGATACATTGTCTATCACTTGTTTTATTTTGTTAACGTTATAGAATCCAAAGACGACATCTCCTCCCTGTTACCAGTACTCTTAATCTGGATACTGGCGTTCTACTGTTTGGAAACGATAAGTTGGTGTTTTATATCGAAATTACACGTTTTAGAAACTCGCAGAAGTTCACCAAATCCCCAGGGGAAAAAGAGATAAAAAAATATGATATAAACAGATCAGATTGTTTATCGTGTACGGTCTTTTTGTGGTATTCTTACAACTTTGTCTTACCATATGCCTCCCCGTTCGCTGTCAGTTCACTACCATTTCTTCATCGTCGTCTGATATTATTTAGTTATGGTTTAAGGTAGCAATGCCGCTTCCTGCATCGCGCAATGAAGATGTAGCTAGGATTAGTAAAAGACATAAGTACTTAGCCAGCATATTATGTTATACAGTTATAGTTTTATCATGTGACTGACGCTGTCATTTGCCATTGTCGGAATATACCCCTCTCACACACATATATATATATTGCTTTATTTGGCACTCTCGCAGTGACGAAAACCAGCTGTTATAGACGTGACCTGTGTTGCATGTAACTGGACCGAATTGCATTCTGCTTTACTGAGATAGATAGCATTTTCATGTAATTAACTGTTTAGATAATCGATGCTGTATGTTGTACAAATATTTACTAAAGAAAGCTCATACAGATACTGACATATCCGTTGAAGTTTGGAACTTAATGTCCACACGGACCAATCATTTTAATGTACGTCATCAGGTATATTGTTAAGAGTATCGTCAACGCCAGGTAAACCAAGCTTGAGCAACAAAGTTTCGCAGTTTCTGTAGTCTAAATTTTCAATAAATGATTCAGGATAAATAGTAAACACAGCCGGTGTCTTAAACTATACACTGCATTTTGGATTGGAACAGAAAGGAAAAAGTGGCGAGCTTCTATTTTTAAGGCATTTACCATGTATTCTTAAGTTATGGTAGGGTAAACGAATTTCAATAGAATCTTGATTCAATCTTAAATTCAACGCGACAAGGTGAAGTATTATCAACAAAAGAAACATTTACATTGGGGACTCGTGAAAAAGTACACGGACTGGACAATGTGTTCCGGAAGGGTAAGCGTCTTTTGCTTTATCAACGACACCCGTCACAATGATAATTGGGAGGTGTCGGGACATAATATGGCACATTCAACTGACATTTTTTTGTAAACAGATGGGAATAATGTCGCTGTTGGGCAAGGACCATCTTTTTGATGCCACCTACATGTTCACATGGGTAATTTTATCTGAAAATTAAAAATCCGTATCAAATACTGTTTGTAGTAACCAGAGATAATCACCATGGCCAGACAACTGACGCCAAACTCTCGATTCGGTGATTTAATTGAGAGGCGAGTAAGCTATATAATGTACACCGAATCAGGGGCCTAACAATATAGCTATATCACAAAATCATTTCCAAATTCATGTTGAACTGAATACTGTAAATTGAAATCAGTCGCATATGATGTAACATAATTGTAATCGATATTTTCTTTATTCAAGGATGCTACAGATCAAATTTGAACATTAGCCTGTAACTCATCTATTTCTCCAAAAGGGTCCCATCCCCCTGGTCATGGAGGGCTCACCCCACCTTCTATACAAGATAACGCCTCCTTCACTGACGATGCTTCACGTCTACTAACTCAAGGTGAGCGATTTTTTACGGTAGATTATACAGCGGCATATCCGTTATGTAGATAAGAAAAAATCCAAAATGTATGTCTCTGATCAGTAAATTTAACATTTCTTCGTTACAAATATATGATTTTAAAAATTTTAGATGAAAATTAGTTTTTAAAGTTGAAATTCAAATACGAATCTCTTTCGTAGTCTTACCAAACTTTTAGCAAAACGATTATTTTGACAACTTCAATGTGAAATAAAAGCAATGTTATGTTTAAATCTCCAAATGTATGCCTCTGACTATCAAGTATAGTAACTTTCCAACACATTGATATAAGTTTGACAAACCTTGTTAAAAATCAGTTGTGTCATTTTTAGGTGAAAATTGCACATAATTTCAGTTCGCAGTCCCAAGCTGTACAGGTAAACATGGCATCAATGTACAGGTATCGATGAGTCATTAGACGGACTGTTGTTTATATATAGTTAATAATCATATTGCTTTCTGATCAAAGTACATTTGATATCTTCGAAATAGATTATTTCATATGTAATTAACGAAATGAATAATAAAATAGAAATGACATTTACACACAGCGGCAAAGCTGTGACCAAAACATAGCTCTCAGTTTGTGAATAAGCTACATGTACTATTCTTTTGTATTATAATGATTTAAGAAGTATGTTAAGGTGTAGTGCTAAATCACCCAACATCATAATTTTATTTATCTATATATGTTTTAGGGTTGAAGGAAGTCAAACTTAATTATTCAGTATTATTCATCAATACAGTTTAATATCTGTATCATGTGAATATAGGTTGTGAGTAACACAGGTAAATCTAAGGTAATAATCCAGGTACGAAAAATAAACTTATATGAAACAGTATATAGTTGCCTTGCTATTGTTTCCTAAAACAACATCATGCTGTTGTTATAAACGATGGCTCTCGGAGGGAACCTCCTCTATACATACCGTTCGTATAAACCATTGGTGTGAATATATACTGACCGATTCATTTAAAGTAATAAAACCAATAATGACGTATCATGCAAGCATTATTGAAGAAGTGTACAATGTATAGATTATGTTGACGTTGATACTTACATGCACAATCATTTTAACGATGCAGCCATGATTACAACAGAGACATTAATTCTTGATTTTGTTTTATCTGTGTTCAGAATGCTTTAAGGTACTTTGGGGAATTCGAAATTTATTCCATATCCCACTTTAAAGAAGATACAGTCAAGTGCACACACATTTGTACGTATACCTACATAAATATGTAGGGGAGATATTGTGTAACTTGAGTAAGATCATTTTAATTGACAATTCATTATATACCGTGACTATTTTTATCCCCTTCCATGAATACAGAGTAAATATTTTCTCACAATATTTCCACTTACGCTACTGGATTTTGGAACAGCCCCCCAACAAAGGCTCTGTACTCCCCTTTCTTACTTTGGAACCCGTTATCATATCCTTGTTCCGGCCCTGTATACATGTACCTACAACTATATTACTTAAATACATTTTTTACCTCCTCGAAGGCATGGCTTGCGCCTGTGACGTTTCTTGTCTGATATAAAAATGTTACTCAATTAAACACTGAAACACAATGCTGACAGAAAACAATATTTTATTCATAAACGAGTAACTGAAAATATGAAGATTTGCACATATCTAGCTTGCATCACAACAATGTGACATATAAATAATGGTGACATGCGCGATAGTGCAGCAACATAGGTAAATATGAAATGCATTGTAATTGATGGAGGCGTTTTAAAATATTGCTTCTATCAAGAATAGAAATAAAACACGGAATTTTTATCACAGAGATCAACTCAGTCTTCTGGAAAACATACGAGTTACCTCCCTTCCCATACATGATATGCCAGGATAACGGTCCACGTGTACAAGAATGCGTAAAACAAAATACAATATTTTACTGCATACGATTTTGATCTTTCAAAGCCGTATAAAGAAGCTGGGTTTTGAGACTGAAATTATCATCAGTTAAAGTAGTGCACATATGACTAAGTTTTGGCATTTTATTTTCAGTTATATAAGTGTATTTGTTTAAAATATATTTAAAGCAATATACATATTCTTTTAGTGAATAATCTGCAGAGCAGCGCAAATACGGATAAACTGACAAGGCTTTGTAGTTACGGCTACTTACAAAAAAGTACATGTATAATATATATTTACTACTCCACTAAAAAGCCCAAAGGACGTGTCATATAATCAGAAAGCATGCCATAGTTATCAATAAAATATAACGAGACGCGTCATATAGGTTAACGATTCCAATGATAGATCTAGAGAAATCGGGTTTCAGAAATATTCGATCCATCCCGGGAATTTCGGAACCCCTCTTAGATTATAGTGTCATTGTAGCACCATTCATGTACATTTAACCAAGACGGTATAAAGTTATGATACAAAACCAACACACTGAATGCAAATATGGATGTATGAACTGACACACAGTAATCGAAATACTGTTTTGTTTTCTCACTCACATTATTGAGAGACTGAATTATTACATAACCCCTCAAATGCCCTTTTTGCGGTATTTTTTTTTTTTTTTTTTTACTTTAGATTATCCCTATATTGAAATTAAAGTTCCAGGTTAATATGAAAATTTTCAGTGCAAATTAATCATCACCAGGCCGTTTCTAATACGAGTTAAGATTGGATCAAAATGACGGCTTACGACGCAATTAAAATACCTATCGACATTATTACATAGATGTACGCATACCTAAATCAACCTGTATGCTATCAACGCCCCATTCCATTTTCGTACTCGGCATATATATATATATATATATATCGGTACAGTTCACAAAAAGGCAGTAGAAACTGACATTATGAATTTGTATACATTATTACATGAATTGTGAAAATTATTTATCAAACAATGGGGTTCTTGCATCCCCCCCATCTGAATTTTGACATTACTATGAATCAATCTGTTTTTCCTGTATCATAACAAGTTGTAGAATAAGGAAACCGTTGCATGATGCAGTTTAACCCATTGTTTGGCTCTATTGTATCTGATTCTATATTTTTATTGAAAGGTGCTATCAATTACAACTTGTGTGTATGCGACTGTCTCAGTCACAGGGAAGTCGTTGAGTTCTTTGGGATTTAACTTTGATAAATCATTGTAAACGTGAACCTCGTCTCTCTCCCACATCCATATTTATTTTTATTGATCTAAATTTGTTTCTGAAATCACATACTTGAACGACATTCTGCTGACCTTTGAGACAGGTAAGCAAGATTTGAATGTCCGGATCTATAATTAGACGACTTAGTATTAGTCAATCGGAACACCATGGCCGATTCCAGGTCGTCTTGAAAGGTACTGTAATCAGGCGAAGTGTTCCGAATGAGAAATAGTGTAAAACGATTTACAAGATATCAAAGTGTATTGGGCATCCACAGATGATCGATTTGAATGTAAATTGCAATTATTGACAAAAGAATTTCTTAATTGTATAATCACACATACTGAGTTCATTAATGTCTTTATTTTACAATGTTTGGACGGCTCTAAACTTTACATTATATTACATTGGTATATGTCGCATCCGGACATTGTATTTTACACAGTTGCAAAAGAAGAAAGTATGCGAAAAATGTTGTTGTTTTTGTTATTGTTGCTGATGTTGTTGTTGTTGTTGTTGTTGTTGTTGTTGTTGTTGATGATGATGATGATGATGATGATGATGATGATGATGATGATGATGATGATGTCTTAAATTTTGTTTTGGAATTTATTTCTTTATCATAATTATTTCAATGAACGCTTCATAATCTTCATTTTCTAGTGGATTTATTTCCACGAATTCTTTAACAGTTACCTTCCTACATTTGTACATATTGAAGTGGATACTCATTTCATGAACCACGGAACTTTATTTCAATAATAAATTACGGATCATTCTATTTCAAATACACTAATTCCTGCTAACGAACACCTGCTTAATGCCCTTGAAAACATTTAAAGAATAGGTGACACTTTCCGAAGAGACATCTGTGAGGCATAGAAAAGACATATATGAAATTGAGTCTTAAAGCTATTCTTGACGGACACATATTTTGTTATCAAGGATGAAATAAAACAGCTTAATGTTTGTTCTTTTACACACGTGACGTCATTACATAATTACTTATGACGTAAAAATGGGCATCGTTACACATATAAAAGGTTGAAAACACCGACGTTAAACAGCGGGTACATGGTACGAGTAATTATATATGTAGCATTATCCCAATGAATATTCAAAGTAAATTGGCACCAATGCACTATGAACTCTTATAAGACCTGTGTTGTTTAAATTTTTATGTACCATATCCATGCTATGGTAGACAATATTATATACAACAATTGTGTGTTGTTTTAATGGCGGTACGTTTCATTGACCTCAACTTGGACTATACCTCATCTGATATAAACTGTATACCAATATCAATGTTATCTATTTGACCAGAATATCAACAACACAATTACATACATGTGCACGATGTATGTCTGTAGTATCCACTGAATTGTAGTTAAAACTACAGCAAAACCGTACATGCACTAAATATGCCAGACTCATCCTCGCAGCTGCAACGAAGGGCAGGCATTGACATGCGTCAAGCATTAGTTTGGCAACGTAAAAGAACTTACATAAGATACATAATATTCCTAAACATTTGTATTCTTGTGACCGCAGTAAGATATGGTATATCAGCCACTTTCAAAAGTCAAATGAACATCTATAAAGCTCTACTCAGGAATTGTATGTAGTTCTGTGATGAACTGACTTAGGATCTTAAGATCATCTTCGGCAGACCAAATTCTTAATACCGTTTATCGTCATCATAAGAGACAGAAGTCTACCGTGTCTGTATCACATATACCTCGTACTGTTTCAGTACACAGAAGCCCTATCCTTACATATAACGTCTTTCCATTGTATCACAGTCGGCATCATTGTCTCTCATTGCAAAGCACGCAACGTCTTTGCAAAACGGATTCTATAAACAAGAATTCAGGATATGACACACGCCCTTGATTTTTGTGCCTGTCTAGCTTTCGCTACAAATCTCGCTACCTGTAGGGCGGTGCCCATACTGTTCTTGCCTTGCACAATGTCTCCGTTCATAGTACGATACCCGTTTGGAGTGTTCGATTGCAAGTTCCTACTCGGTAAACACTGAAGAAATTCGACACTTTCTTCATATTCCGGATCTGCTATCGACAAAACTGTGAAGCTACCGTCTACAGCGCCTATCACGACAGTTTCACCCTCTGCTGTGCTTACCATTGCTTTGACTTCAGCATGTGCTTTAAAATTGGCAACCATTTTCCCATCGGACACACGGAACACCCTTATTGTACGGTGCCCAGAGTGATAGTATACAACATGTCGATCATTCTGTGTAAACATTACATCTATGCTGAACACTCCCTCAGCCACTCGTGGAATGAATGTCCGTACCGTCTTCCCAGTTTTCAGTTCTAAGAGTTGTAATCCTCCCCTGTTCGGGGCATACAACCCAAACTTTCCATTTTTCATTACCATACCATTCCATCTATTCACTGACCTTGGAACAGTCTTTTTCTTTAGGTCAATGACATTTCCTTTTTCTTCATCTACAAGTACAATTTGGTGAGGATCATGCCTCATCGCTCTCATGGATTGCACAGGCTTATAGTTATTATACTTGAGTCCGAGATTATACAGATGAGTGCCTGACTTGGCGTGGTAGACACCAAGCACATCGCCGCTTTTATCTGTAGCGAGTACCGCGAAGAAAGATCCGTCTATAGTCAGTACTCCCGGTTTTAACACTCTGAGATTGTACTCGAATGTGTAGACTGGCTCACCTTCAGGGAACGTGTAGGTGACCACCTTTCCCTTATTGAACCCTTCCTTTGCCAAAGCAATTACACGTGTGTCACCTTCATTCAATAGGAGTTGCTGAATATCCTTGTGAGGAATTACTTTCGAAGCTGATTCTTGTGATACTTCCCAGATGAGAAGTTTTCCTGATTCAGCAGCTGCCACATACTTTCCATCTCTTGTTATAACAGCCAATGATACCACAGACTTTGTCTCAAGAGACAACTCAAGTTTTCCTGTTCCAAGATTCCACACACCTATGCAGTTCCTACTCGTTGTAACACCGTAATGCGTTTCCGATGCAAGATCGATGGTTTCGATCGGTTTTTCCATTCGGTCAATGGAATGAACATCTTCCAGGATGTTGTCGAAGTTCCAGACTTTGATAGTTTTGTCGATGGAAGACGAAATAACTTTATTACAGCCTGAACTAACTGCTCGTAACGATATGATTCTACCGAAATGGGCATCAAGAACTTTCACCATATTCCCTTGCTTAGTGTCCCACACATACATATTCTTCCTAACACCGGCCACAACAAAGTGGTTGTGTTTTGTAAACACTACCAAAGTACTAAGTTGGTTTTTGGTAGGAATATTGCGGGTTCCCGGGGGTAGCTTGAGTTGAACAAGTGCATCCGTTTTAAGATTCCAAAGTTTGTACCCAAGTGCAATTGTTGCCACCAGGTAGTTTTCATCCTCCGAAAGTGTCAATGCGAACACAATGTCGAAATTATCCCCTAGAGTGCGATTATAACGCCATACACTATCCTCCCGTTCGTAGACTGCCACAGCATTGTCGCTGATTTCAATGCACGTGTAAAGGATATTCTTTTCTTTGTTTATCGCAATGCCACTGTGAAACTCAAAAGGCTTGATTGATTGATCTTGAACCTCAAGAGCCATTTCCGTATCATTTTCAGTACCGGACTTGCATATGAGATAAGTTTTGTCATCATTGCCGAGATCTACGGCAAGAAGGGGCATCTTGAGAGGCGTGTCATGTTTAGATATCAGCTCCCCGCGGGTGTCATATAAATACCATTCCTGACTAGTCCAGATGGCCACATGTGCGTTGGACATGGAGGTTCCAATGATTGAATCGGTCTTCCCGTTCATAACGGGTGTGATTATTCTGTAATCACCGGTCATAATGGTGCATATTACAACCTGATTATTGTTTGTGAAACTAGCAGCGTACTTGTCATTTTCACAAATCGAAAGATTTGACATTATGCCGTTTATTCCCGGTACAACATTTCTGAACACTTCTCCGTTAAGCAAATCCCATATTATGAATTTGTTCGACACAGATACAAGGTAGCGGCCGTTTGAGGTCGTACCAATACCAAAAGGAGCAAATGGATGTCCTTCTAAAGAGTATTGAAGCGGCCCACCTGGCGTATGGAGGCAATGGTGGGCTGGAACCAGGGAACAGTCCTCTAAACCATCACTATCGCACTGCTGAATCAAACTTCGGATGTTTGTGTTTTGCTGGTAGTATGGAAGCAGGCGTCCAATGATCTGAGGTCCAAGCATGTCTGGATAGTGGCTGAGGATGGAACTGGACAGACGAATGGCATCTGCAATGAGTTTAACATCCTTTTGGTAAACGTGTTCCAAGAGATCTTCAAAATCTGCCAGGACAGACTGCAAAGGCATCGAACTGAGTTTTGCATGAAGCCACTTGTAGTTGAATAAAACGGTTGCGTAGAGATCCTCGTACTGATGAGATCGTATCAAGTGATAAGGTAACTCACTTAATTTTCTAAGATTGTAGCGTGTGACAGTACCATCTGATGAAAATACTAGTCGCTGAATAGGAACCTTCCTGTCACTCTCTCCTTTCATCTCGTCAAGTTTGAACATACGACGTTGGCCCTCTGTGTACTCGAATGGTTTAGGAACTCCGCCACCCCAGATTCCAAGGAAATACTCAGAAAGGTTTGCATGGACGGTACTGACGAAGTTTAGATTTCTAAAATACCTCTCCTTCGCGGCCTCTATAAATTGTCGGTGGTACCAACCAACTACATTGACACCGTCAGCCTCCCTCTCGCTGAGATATCCTGGGAGATCGCTCCTAATTCTTGTCCAGAGTAAGGGTGGGATCCTTCGTACAGGCGGAAGATGATATTGGTATACATCATTCAGAACCTTTTCATCCAGGGAAAGCAGATCTTCCAACTCGGATTCTGACACACCACTTTTCGCAGCAGTAATGTATCCAAATGCGTGTGCCACTAACGTTTTCCCGTGCTGAATCTCGATTCTTTCATACAGCTTCATAATGCTGTCATGTATCGTGAACTGAAGGACGGTGGTATTTGGCTTTGTATATGATTTCCATGTGCATATCTGATCAAATACAAGTTTTACAAAGAGTGGAAGATTGCACTTCGTGAAGGCTTCATTGACTAAGTCCCATTGCGATTCAGTGATGGCTTTATTTGCATTCTTTAACCAGAACTTCAAAATAGTTCCACTTAAGTTTTCTCCCAAGGGAAGCACTGCGACATAGTTCTCCTCTGGTTCAATCATGATACGGATAGTATCCAGTAGGCCGTAGAGTCGTGGTAAAGTTGATAAAATCATTTTTACATTAGGCGGCAGCTGAGCTGGAAGCCATGCAAGCTGGTGTGCACCATCCGAACCTGACAACTGATCAAGTGAATCCAAGATCAGTACCAATGGTTTCTCCTCTGTTGCTAAAGTAAGAAGTGTCTTAAAATGATGTATCAACGGTGCTAGTTCATCTGGGATCTCGTCCATCGGCGAATCATATAAAACACATATTTGCTTGCACAGACTGGTCAACAACGGAATAATGGTTGAACTGTTAGGCGTTGTACCGAGAAATCGGATGACTAGCATTGGTTCTCTCTCCTCAGGAAACCATGATTTTATCTGAAATTATGACACATTAGCCATGATTAGTTCGAGAAAATGGAAAAATGTACTTCTTGAAAACTAATATCCTTTCAATGTTTTCTTGGGTATCAATGGTTATCGTTTTGGTCACAAGTATAAAGTGCATAGATATACATATACTTAATCATGAATCGTTAAACATTTGACTCTACAAAAGTATTTGCTGAATTCACATAAGTCCAGGTTTTCATCCTACTAGAAATGGATTTAAATCAACGACTAAGTGGCAAATTCGGCACAGGATACATCCGCTATTATAGACATAATTGATATGATGGAAATGAGAGTTTCCAATACAAAATAACTGTAGTGAGAATAATTGTTTACCTGGCTTGCACCTTTGGCAGTCAAAGAAGTCTTTCCGCATCCACTTTCTCCATGTAGAACAAACGGCCTATTTGAAGGACCGACAATGTGTTCTTCTATCTTCTTCACAATATCTTCGCGTCCTTGAAACACTTTACAATACTTTGTGCACGCGTGAAGGTGTTGTAGTGCCTCTGTAAACACAGGATCACTAGACAATCGTTCATGCTTTGCCATAGCATTGTCCACCAGCATGGCAATGGAGGTATGAAAGTGATTCGTAAAGTTTTCTAAGTATTCCTTGTGCGTATCTTTGTCAATTCCTTCTCGTCCCCATTCTACTTTGAAACGAACTAAATTACTTTCTGGCATTTTCTTTGTTAATTTTTCATCACGAAGTACTTGAAGAAGCTTTTGAGCCTCCCCATCTATGTTTCGGGCAGCAAAGTCTACGAATTTGTAGGCAAAACGGTACATTGTTGGGTTGATATTGGCGATTTCTCTGACGTATGCAAGACAATGGTCTTGTACATTATTGGCTTTCAGGATACCACGTTCAACTTCCCTCTCAGTTACTGTAAGATAAAGCGATATTATGAGAAACTACATTCAATAATATTTCACCTCAAAATTACGAAATAACATACAGTTTATGATACCATTTTACGTAGAGCATAATTTGATGCGATCAAATGTTTGCATGGCAGTACTGAGGAAATGATTAGGTTTCAAGAAAATGTAAATGATACCAACCTGCTAAGCTACCATTGTACTACTCACAATGTAATTAGAAAATAAAAAGAATCGAATAGAACAAGTCCATTACTATGTACACTACTTGCTAACTTCAAAACTGCGAAATTAATATAAACGATTTAAGATGTATAAAAAGAGTAAACTAATTTGCAACATTTTCTTATGATGATAATGTACCTGACATGAAGTAGTTGTGCATCTGTTCTCGGTCAAGCTTTTTTGTGATGAAAAGTACTTGAGCGGCCTTCCTCATTATCCTTTGTAGCTTAAGAAATGTTTCCCACCATGTGTTTTGATCAAGTTCCTGCAGCCGCTGATGTCTCTGAAAAAAAAATATATCCACAAAATTACAAAAAGGTTATAATTCTTTGCAGTAGTTAATCTAATGATATTTTCTGGATACTGAAGTATCTCCGGGGATATAAAATAGATGACTATGAACAAATGCGAGTATTGGTAAGAAAATTTAGAATGAAAGGCAAACCTCAAAGAATAGCATCTTCCAACGTACTGAATCACCAGGTCAACTAATTTGCTAGTGGAAAAGATGCGTATATTTATACATCAACTTTGGAAATGAAATTAATAATCAATCCTTATATGTTAGATAATAAAAATAATATGGCACGAAGTTTTAAGCCAAATGTTTTTATATAGTGTGGACTATAATTATGTATCTACTAAGTATCTCCCATAATGTTTAGCGTGCACTTAACTTAGCGATGTCTTTGTGAATTATATATGGGTGTTATCTGTATTGAGATATGAGATGGTATAACTTAAATAGTATGTTATCGTTTTAGAGTTTATCATACTACTATTTGAGACTGAAATTCATGACCGCGTGTGTCGCTATTGCACGCGAGATAATCTAACTAATCATTTACATAGTGAAAATAATTACACATACAGATAAAGATCTTTGTAATTACCTCCTGACGCATATTGTAAATGATGACATTTGATCTACAAAGACGAAAAAAAGGAAATATCTTTATTCTAGCAATTAACTGATTACAGCGACTGTCTGTCGCTTTTCATTTTCACTCAAATAAACGAAAAAAAACAGGTACATGTATACATCATTAAATGATTGAACAAGTTATTGACATTTCTCAAATTAGAATCTATGACGCAAATGCGTGTCTGTATATCTATTAGAGATGTATTTTATCAATACAGCGCGGTATGAATAGACACCGGTTGCTTTTTTAATATGCATGACGTAAATGTTTAAATAAATGACAAAAAATATCCTTGTCGTCTTGACCAACACTTTGTGTCAATGTACCGTCGACTGACAACAGTTGTATTCCATATCATATAACATCACACATTTGAACACAATTTTATAAAATATTTAATTTTAAAGGTTTTAAATAATATCGAACTATACTATTACAATTGATTATGCCATTACCAACTAAAAGCTGGTCTAATCACTTTCAGTTACTGACCAGAAACAAACACACCGTTGCCAACCGATCATGTCCCATCGATTATGGTATTCTTTGAAACAAGTAAAATATTAAAGGATTTTTTCCTTTATTTAACCATAGCTGTGTTAATTATAAACCATTAACCGTTCGAATCTATACCGACATCAAAGATAAATTTTGACTTCAGGTTTTAATCAAGAAACTTGTCATTAAAATGTGTAAGTAATGTACGTCAATACTTCAATAGAAAACTGTACTTGTTTAAGTCATCAAAACGAAATGAAAGGTTTTTTCTGGTAGTTAAATGAGATTCTAAGATCCTGTATATAAAAAAAATGTATTAAAATAAGAAATTAAAAAAAAACATGCATGATCTGAAAGTTTCCAAAAATTATATTAAATGAACAGCCAGGGTCGTTTTCAACAAATATGAGGCACGTCGCATGTTATTCAGTGCTGTCACAGTAAGGCATTTTGCCCAAGGACATAACTGCGACAATATGGACTGGTTAGTTCATCAGCTTCCAAAGAAACACCAAGTGCCATGGATTGGAAGCATCATACCACACATCAAAATAATGAAAGACAGTAAATTTATTTGCATAAATACACTTTCAGGTATAACCTCATCAAACAGAAAAAAAAATATGTCAAGCATGTTCAAGTCTCAAAATATTACCAATAAATACAAAAAGTGTGAAGAGAGGAGGGGTTAGTCCGCTTTATAGAAAATATGACCCATGATTACTTTTTACCCTCGATGATGAATAGCAAACTTATTATGAAGTTTTTAAATCTAATTGATTTCGAATAGACTGTTTCATCGAGTGTAAACAAGATTCACGTCATGGACATATTTTAAGGACGTCACTTTCAACCTACATAGCAAAAGAGCTCCTGTTTGGTTCAATACACATTATGTAAACGTTACACTGACGTGTCCAAACATAGTTGTATATCATACAACGCGACAATTTCATTAACTGGTGCATCACCAAGTTAATCGATAATCATTCCTACCTCGCAGTGCCTAATAAATTAAATGCACATGAATGGGATAGTTTATCCCCAGTAACTTTGAAGAATATGGTAGATGAACACGGTTTTACCACAACTAGAGCAGAAATTATTCTGTATACCTGTTTTGACTGTTGTTTCTATCTATTTTATTGACGGGTTTTCAGGTCAGTTATCTTTGATTGCATGCATATCTAACAAGGGAGGTGAACCAATTATACAATCTGATGTTCACATTCTATGGTTCAACAATAGTGTGTTACAATTACGTTGAAAAATCCATTTGCAGATCTCTGCGACAAGAAATGCGTCACGAAACCGTTTTACTGCAGATACATCCACAGCAGAACAGAGCAAATGTTAGGAACCTCTGGCGAACAAATTTTCGCATGAACTTGTTAATTTTCGCCTTGTACTAGTTTAATCAAATCGCACATTTTATTTTCTCTTTAATGGGAAAAGGACGAAACTATCATACCTTGTTGTTAAAGTTGGTGAGTATGGAGCTAATAGGCTGCAGGACATACACAGCTGGTACCGTGTTTTCGTCTTTCATATACCACTTATCAAGGACCTCGATTTCGTCCTTCACAGACTTGACGCACTCACGGATCATTTCGAACTCAGTTGCTACGATGAATGTTGGTAGGGGACGATATCCGTACTTCTGTCCGAGAAAAACCTGTAACAGAAAATAAAAGAATACTGATATTCCCCCATAAAATCACTATTCCAAAACGAAATTGATTAAACGGTGAGTTATGAATAAAGGAGAACATTTCTAAATTTCTTAAGCAAAAATAAAGGATTACTTTTTTTCGTTTGTGAAAGGTTGTATACTGAAATTGTCAATACCGAATACATATTGGCCAACTATTTTAAATGGAAGAGTTGTAATGATATATATAAGTATATCGATTCCAACGAATACATTGAAGAGCTTATAATGAATTAAGTTATAGATTCGAAGATCTAAATCATGAACTCCGTCAATTATTTATTTTATTTTGTTTCTTAAGTGTTGTTTTTGGATTTTTTTTTCTGTTCTCAAAATGCCGAAAAACAGAATCCATTCTCAAAATGATGAAAAACATAATTGCCCAAAAATTACTGCCTTGACATTACAAAACTTAAGGTCATTAAATAACGGGCCATTTTATTTGACATGATAGCATTATCTGTGCATAAAATCTTTCGAAATTAAGACATATCACCATTTCACATTTGATTAAAGACAATGGCATTGATAAGTTACAGTTAAAGTGTCTACTGCCCTATCTGACCTTACGAAGACATTAACCGACTAAACCAAACTTCTGACTTGAGGGCATGGATCACGAAAAGACAATGATGGAATATTTGATACCAATTAAAGTCGGGGTTACTCGGTGCTTCCTCTGACTCTAACTATTCCAGTATTTATATCTTCATATTAGTTATGATTGATTGGCAATGCTGATCCCAATCTAATATCTCCCTGACATGGCAGGTTCGACGCCACTCACAACGGTATTAGAATATGCACCAATTATCATATCACGTCTACTTTACTAACCAGTAACTGCTGTACAGTAAACATGTAAGGCCAAAATGAATAAATTTGCTGATGATTATTTCAAAATATATCAATGTTTGTTTCAAATGCCCAAAAAGTGACCATGAAATTAGTGAATTTAATGTACAGTTCAATATTTTTCCAGACACTTAATAGCGTTTTTCACTGAATATCATCGTTTTCATTTGTTGTTAACATTAAAGGTATGTGTGATAACACAAAATAACAGCTACAAAACGTGGATATTTTATATGAAGATATATGAAACAAGAATGGCATGGAAATATCCCAAATTAATTTGACACAATTTTGATCATGTAGCGAAAGGGATCATTGAATAAAACATTCAATTCAAATAAATACCAGATTTAATTATGAGACTCCTTTATTTATTTATTTATTTTTATTTCTCCTTAAATGAACCTTGTAAGAGGTTTGTTAGAACTGACATAAAAATAGTCGCGTTATTCTTTAAAACTTATGCATATAAGATTATAAGTGGAGAACCTTTTTTTTCCTATCAGAACTTTAAGTGTAAGAGGGTTTTACTTTGTCTTCAGTCAACATTTGCGACGTTTTACAATTACCACAACTTAGTTTGTCTATGAAATAATGATATATACTTGTTGCCATTCATTATCAAAGGATTTCATTTGGGAAAAAATGAAATATGGTGATGATCATTTTTATAGATAATGTCATAAAGTTAGTCACCACTAGATATCCGAATGAGGTGAATAACAGTCATAAACTCATAGAACAAATGATAAAGAATGAAGTTATATATATGGCTATAAATATGGGTGTTTAAATTAGACCACGAAACTTCCATAATTTATTTAATTTAATAGGACTGCGTTTTGAATAATGGTATGTTCCAATTCCATTGCAATTTGACAGCTTAACAAAAACAGTATTCCAATCTCACTGTAAACTCTACGATGTAATGAATGGAATATCAACCACGAATGATTGACCCCTGAATTATTGATTCTGCTCGCAATAGAATTAGTAAAAACGTAAATAGATATTTCTTTGTCTACATGATGAAAAATTAGTAATGCATGATGTACAGTACCATTAACTGTCAACAACCATTGATTTCATTATTGTGAGGATGATGCGTTGCTATAGCACATCGTTTTCATAACACAGTCGTTTGTTTCTCTACTATTGTGATTAGCAGGAAATACTACAAGATATTTTCTATATTCTTGGGCTACATCCCTTCCACAATTAATACACATATTCATGAATAGAAACGAATGATATATTTGCATTATAAACAACTACTTAAATGGAGCTAGGGCCAGATATTCTTAAATACCGTCAAGTGTAACTAACCTAATCATATTCAATTAAAGTTATCGGAATTGAAATCACTATATGATAACACTCTATCTAGTGCCATGCAAATAAAATACAAAGAGAATATTTTCTATGAAAATGGCACAAGGAGAAAGATGTATTCATTAAAAAACGAAAACAGCAAAAAAGCTGATATATTGGTATTTGATTTGAACGTTTATAAACAGAATCCATAATTAAAACACTCGAGTCTAAGTTACAATTTTGAAAATTGTTGAATTACGGTGCTAGTGAAACTCCTATCGTATAGAAAGGCACTGTTCATTTTTGTAGCTTTTGTACAACAGCAAAAACAAATGCTAGCTAACTACCTCATCATTTTTGTTCGTTTTTTCATAGACATAGATATTACATTACAATACCTGAAAGAAATACGTCTTATTCACTTATTCAATGAAAAGTATGTCCTATGTGTTCATTTTACATGTAATAAATAATCTGTTATCATATGCATTAAAATTTGTATTTGTTAATGGATATTGTGGCTCTGAAATACAGTATGCCGATTTTATCTAAGTTTAACACAAAATATTAAACCCAGCCCAGAGGCGATTTAACATTAACACAGAACTATTCAATGGTAACACTTGGGTCTATATATGCACTCTCTGTCGCGGACAATGCATAATTATTCAAATGAAGGATTAAATGGAAACATTCCCCCTGACATGTGCGTAAATTGAAGTCTATAGTCCCATCTTTGTAATATTACAGGCTTCTGTCTAATCCCTTTATTGCAGATGAATGATAATTTCACCTTTGACCAATTCATACCTGCTTACGTCATTAACCGGAAGATGTTTCCCCGCACGTAGATACTATGTATTGATTGGCTAGATGACAAGTTATTTATTATACCTAACCAAAGGATGTTGATCTATTTTACAATTGAGTCTAATGGAAATGGCAAGTTTCTAGCACCTATGTATGGGCTTATCTTAATGTCTGGTTCATAGAAATTATCAAGCTCATTGATTTTATATCATAAGCCCGCGTGGAGTTACCACAGTCGCTTTGTAATGAGTTTAGTCAGCTTGAACGTTTAATTAATAGTAATTTTCTAACGATATTTTCATTGATTTAACTATTGACTTCTTTTACATATACATCAATCACATGACATTCAAACTAGGACTACCAGGAGAACACCGACCCCATTACTTAAAGTCCTATTAAATACATGGATTCAATAAATAATGTTTGGACTATTCATACCTAATCACTTAACGCTGAGATAGATAACTCAGTCGTCACCTCTTTGTGGCTTTCCTTTATTACCAAATAACTACATTTGATTGAATCTGTGTTTCTGTAATTTCCAAACAATTTCCATTTGTGATACTTTCAGCCAACACCGTTGTCATGTTCAATTGCTTTTGTGTGGGCGGAAGTAACCCCTTCATTTAATCAATACCACGAGAAGAACTCTTCATGCAGATTTACCTTCCATGGCTATATTGCAGGCCAGACCATCAACACGCACTGATCAGCTGTATTATAACTACCCATGTCTCTTTAATCTCATGACATGGTCTTTGATTTCGTAAAGTTTTAGTTGGTAATAAAAGTGTGCATGGATATTAAAAGCAGTAATAAATCGTCGACCTATTTTGGTGGCTTTGAACATTAACTATAAATCATAAAGTCTTCTGCGAAGATCCTTATTGGATGAAATGTACAAACAGTTAGATAGAAGTGAGAATTTCCTTTTTATTCATAATATTGCAGGAAAAGAATTACTCAGAAATTTCATTTAACTATCGTAAAAGCCTTATGTTCGGTTTTGAAAGTTTTTATAAATAACATAGCAATACCTCCTAAGACTTAAAACAACGAGCCCTTAGTATCATGGCCAGGTCTGGATGAAGGAAACAGATGTGGGATGTAGGTTTATTCTTTGTTTGGATATGCAGTATATCACTCTAAATTTCTAGAAAAAGTTGCTAATCTTGTGTGTCCGCTGTAGGTCTATACTGATTACGAACTCCTTCTGAAGGAACGGTATCAAAATGAATCTGTACTCAAACCCGGAAACCTTAACTTACTAACGCTTAAGAGATACTCTATCTACGGTTAGATGCTGTTAGCAATATACCAGGGTGACAATCCTTGTTAAGAACAAGACGAGAAGAGATTACATCGATTCTGTTTCGAAACGATATTTGTTGATGAAAGGAATTGCTTTTTTGTCATCCTTCCTCTTTCCTTAGGAACACTCGCGTAGCATACAGTATATACCAATTAGGCCCACCATATCATGCACGTGTTTCCAGATGAATGCCGATATGGTATACCTACTCAAGCGTTAATGCGCTGTAGAAAAGGCAAGAATGGATGCGGAAGGTTGCGTTATCATTTCAGATCAAAGACAATATATAATTCATCCGTATTCAGTGACACTGAAGGTAGATTTAAAGTGATCAATTGCTTCAGACGGATATACATTAGTAATCCCATAGAGAAAGATTGTCAATAGAACAAACTTAAATGATATAGAATAAATGTATTATTGGGATTGTATAGTTTGCTTAAGAATCAAAATAACACGCAATATCAGGTATTTTATGATATATATCCTGTTGGGTTTTGATATTAAAATGCTTTGAAGTATGAACGGGCATGTTGTTCATGGTCTCGCAAAAGCCATCTGAAGTCAATCTTGATTTTGAAATTAACAAATTTATATAGTAGAAAGTATTGTTAGTCATGCAAAGGAAGATAATGGAAGATGCTGGACTTTACCCAAATTTAACTACAGAACCCTGAGCATATTCTTCAAATATGATGAAAGCAAGTCAGACGCCGTTCCAATTAAGAAACAAAAACGTTGCTTAGTAGACTAGATAATGGATGTCGTATGAACTCTGTGATGGCGTAAACTATGGATGTTGTGAGAAGGTTCTCTATCGTTGATGCCTTTTCTGTTATAATACAATTGTTTCGATGATACTACTATAAAATTAATATTTTCACGTCAGAATATAAAGGTTTACTTACCACAAAGTTTGGACCTATAGAGAGACGCTGACAATTGTCAATTTCTTGCATACATAACTGTGTGGTCATATGATCATCTGTGGCTTCATCTCGCACTCCCCATCTCATATCCACCACCTACATAGACACAAAAACAGGTTCTTTGAGTTATTGAATACTAGTATGAGCTATTGCTTGTCAAAAGTTTATCATTCAACACTTCCAATTTTCAGGCACTCAAAACAAAATATACTTATATAAGAAATGAAACTAGTCAGAGAAAAAAATAATAAATTGATATGTTATTTTTTGAAAATACGAGAGACCCATTGCATGCCATCTGATGTATACAAATTACGAAATGTATTTATTATGAGGCTGCTGTACCTCCCCGTCTCGATTTGACTTTACTTTTGATAACTTGATTTACGTTAGTCGCCTCCTAGGCTTCAAAATTTAGATCCTTAGCATCACTGACGAGTCGTAGTAGGACGAAACAGCTATATGTGACTCTACATTATAAAAATGTGCTATTGTACAATCCACTTAGACGTCATTGTCTAGCCAAAACACCTTGATTAATCAGATATAGGGTAATATAATGAATCAGCTGATTCGTACATCTAAGACCCGTTAATGATGACATTGTTAGAAAATTTGAATCCTATGAGGCAACTATTGAAAATCCACATTGGTTTAATTCCGTGTTGAAAACCAGATGGAAAGCTGCACTTAACCCAATATTCAGTGATTTTTGTACTTTTGAATGCTTTCAAAACAAACATCAAGTGCGTGTTTACTGAGAAATGATGTGACATCAACAACACTGCAATGCTTCTTAATGACCATTGACGTAATTTGATGCACGTAAATATGTGTTGGATGTTACATTTTATATTTTTTATGCTTCCTACGACATATTCTAGTATCAACCAACTGTTATAATACAGCTCTAGAGGAAAAGATTTTAGTCACACTCCATTCTATTGGTGTGGATATTTTATTTATATTGGTAAGATTTTTTTTATCTATATCCACTTCATGTCAAGAGAATATCTATGGGAAATAATGCTACCTATGGGCGTTGGCATATTGTACTTGAACTGAAGTGTGGTAGCCTCGACATGTTAGAATGAAACTCCAATCGGTCAATTCATACTAACTATGGGCTTACCGGTGATGCGCCAAGCAGAGATCCGTAAGAACGAATTTTTTATGGACTTTGCTTTATTTCCCGTCTTGAGAAAGACCCGTATGCTCGATTGATTGCGATAACGCTCAAAATTAAGTTCAAAAGCAAATATGTTTCAAAGTGAGTCGTTTGTAGGTGTAGGAAGATTGTTTTAAGAAGACATTAGATAAAGTTTCTTGCGGTCACACGACTGACACATTGTGTATAATTCATCTGCTGTGCTAGTAACAAATTAGATAGCTATATGAAACAAATCACATATTATCATGCACAATGAGACAATATTCCACCTACTGCTGAAACTGAAACGGTCAATATGTATCAGAAAACATTAGGACGCACTATTACCAGGTTTCATGCATCTAATGAAAACCGTCCATCTATCAAGCTTCCTTTGTGTGTTTGACTAAATGGCCCTGGATGATTACTCCGTCCTGAGGATGGCCGTCACTTACTCTAGACATTAAAGAAACGGATGTCTCAAAAACTCATAATTACATTGTATGGGCTAATTACAAACAAGGAATATAAAACATAATTGAAAATAAGGTATTGAACTCATTCTATAGCAAATTATCACGCTGATAATGGCATATATATTCAGTTTGGTTTAAACGGGCATAACCCGTCTTGTGTACAATATTTATTAACATGTGATCACTTCGATATACAAATTTGACTTTAACATAAAAAGCAGTTGTTGCGTGACAGAATATCATTTTGGAAGTCAAAATAAAAGTGACACGTCATTACAAACCGGAAATTACCCTGCCATTTTTAAACACAACCAATGGAAGCAGTCCCGTTTTTAACGGGCATTATGCAATTAAACACAGTATGGTTGCGTTGTAAAAAGTCACGGTAGTTAATGACGAATTATTAGGATACGTCCGAATGATTTAAAGCGTCCGCGTCTTTTAGACGATTATTAAGTTGTTAAATATGGGTTGCAATGATAAAGCGTCTAACTGAAGTCGATAAAAGCAATGATGCTATTTTACATCCGCATTGAAAACCCGACTTCCGGCACGAAGTGTAAATGTTGGCTATCACTGTCAATAGTTGACAGAGTTATGGCCATGTCTAGTGTGGCAAGATATCGCGTCTGTGACGTCATTAGATGTTGTATTTCAAACACTCTCTCGCCATTAATGATTTCAGTAATTGACCGATTTACTCAGAAAACGGTCAATAATGTGAATGTTTCTTGGCCACAGTTTTCGGTTACTTAACATTGACTGTTATGGTTGATCCTTAAAATGCAAGATGTAAATATTGCACGTCTATTCTTTTAAAAAATGCAACAAATAAATTGCAACCAAATGCCCGAAGCCTGCACTGAACATTATGCTAGAATTCTTTTGCAGGACATTTCCTTATTGTTGTAAATTAAAACACGGGTGCACTTTAGATAAAAGCCAGCTTTAGACTAAGTAGTCGTTTCATTTCTGTCGTTGGTAGAAATTATAAATTTAAATCACCTTTCATGACAGAGTTTGAATTATGCCTATTTGAAAAAGGTTTTTTTGTGGGAACATTAGAGACTGAAATCCAAACTTCATCAGATCAGATAATCTCTACTAAATACTGAAAAAAATCAAAGTATTATATAGTCGTGTCTGAAAATTGTACAAAAGAAACACAATTGAATTACACCATTTAATACCGGTACAGAATTACAAAAAGTGGAGTCAAACAATGTATTAAAATGTTTCACACAGCTGTTACTCCTTTGACTCGTCAATAATGTTACGGGCTTGAATGTTGTAATCTAAAAGGCGACTAAGGAAACTTCACGATGATCGAAATAAATGACAAAATCCAGATAGACTGGTGCAATAGACACATCATTAAGTTAATGTCGTCATTGTCATATATCTGATAATTTCAGGATTTGATTATCACGCCAGCAGCTAGGAAGCAACTGGATGTATCACGACAGCTTTAAAGTGGAATACTGTATCATTTCAGTTAGAAACCAGCTACACATAGGAAACGACTGGCTGTATCATTTAAGTTATAAAACGCTTCCCTGTATCACACCAGCTACAGCTAATAAACGTTGTGTTTCATAATATTAGCTAGGAAGTCACTTGCTGTGTTTTTTCAGGTAGGATATGTGTGTGTTTGTTTTGAAACGACTGATAATGCCTGTTACGATGACAATATAAATTAATAATATATGTTCTACATCAAAGAGTGACTGATTCCTTGTGGAACTAATTAGTCTTCTTCAAGTGTTTATTCCATATACATCACATAGAACACAGGGTTTATAGTTCAATTCCCATCCTAGGTAATATCTATTAAGCTTACTAATTGACTATAAAGACTACAATTAGAACGCCTATTTACCTTCTAATGTTTCACCAACTTAATAATTTATATGCAAATATTTATATACCTAATTTACATGTACAAACTCGAAACTACAGCGACCCGTACATGGGTGGTCAGTATTCTACTTTTACCATAATCAACAATAAATGTTACAGCTATAAATAAAACATTGACGAAATAAAAAAAAATAACTTAAACACGTATGCAGGTTACAGGATACATATATCAATAGATATCTACAGTTTCAGGCCGATTTTGAAAATTGTCGACACCTCGTGAGAGTTTCATTTCGATAAGCACAGTAATCAAAACTCTAACGGGATCGTGGGACGGCAGCAATTTTCAAATATGTGCTTAAAGTTGTTGTTGGAGCAAATAACTGGATATATTTATCTATCGTCATTTAATGAATTTTACATGTTTTTCTATTTCCTATAATCCATGCATGGGGTCGCGGTGGTCAAGTTGTTAAGGCCTCTGAGCGCCTTCATCACTAGCCTTCTGCCTCGGTGTCACGGGTTCGAAGCCTACGTGGGAGCTGGCCGAGGAAAACAAGTGGTTAAGGCCTCTGAGCGTCTTCATCACTCGCCTTCTGCCTCGGGGTCACGGGTTCGAAGCCTACGTGGGAGCTGGCCGAGGAAAACAAGAAGTTAAGGCTTCTGAGCGTCTTTATAACTAGCATCCACTTTTGAATCGCGAGTTGATTGGACATCAAGCAACAATTAGTCTGTATGCCACAGTTTAATTCTTCTTAGTAATGGCCTTTGCTCAAAACATATACACCGTAAAAATTCCACGGGTCAAATATTTCGCGATCGAATTATATATCAACGAATTCATATTTCGCGATCTGGACGTGAAAGGACATTTTACACACATGTGTCTCATTATTTCACGGACTAAATTTTCGGGGTCACTTTACTGTACCGCGAAATAGTGAAAATATCATCCCGCAAAAAATAACCGGCTATATATAAAAGTAATTGATTTTTGTTGATATTTTCACGAATCCTCTTTAAGCTTGCGTCAGTTAAGAGTAAAGATGACAAAAACTTCCAGCGAATAAAGTATCAAAAACATGAATATGCCATGCTAGATTAAGTATAAACACATCTAATACCGGAAATTGAATTTCTTAACTAACAATTGATCTCCGAGAGGGTAATCCGGAATCAATCCAGAAAAGATGCACGTGACCTGTGAAATGAGGTCAGTTCCGGTTTACCATTGTTCTTTTAATGAAACAGGGATCATTTTAATGGACTTGGATGATTGAACACTTAGACATCGTTACTAGTAAATTGATTCATGAATTTAACATCACCAATAAACACAATATATCGAGAATTACGTTTGTTTCTTTGTGTATTAGCTATATTGCATCGTGTGGGGATGAATACTCCAATAAACTTATTTCATGTAGCCATTCCGTGATTGCAATTATTATAAACATTCATAATGCGACACATAAAATGTACTCGTTAATTGTCAAACACCCACATAGCATTCACTTTAGCCATAACCTCCAGTCGAAGAGGCGTCTACGTTCAGACTAATGCTTCACATGGGAATCGTATTGTAAAAATTGCAGTGAATAGAAAAACGT